AATTGGTGCTACCCTACACTGGAAGAGTTTGGAAACCAACCTCTCTTCTCACCATTAGAAATAGTCCCTTTTCTTCAAGTTTCAGTCTGGGTGAGTGAGAAATCTGTATTTGTTCTTTGTCTAAAAGTGCAGAGTTTCCATTCCTGAAGTTCCCATTATAGTTTCCACTAGGTCTGAACACCCCTAGCCCCAGAAAAAAAACACCTAGTTTGGGGCTCTTCTGTGTTGTTTATACACTGTTTAAAATGTTATCAAGTCTTTTTTTAACTTTTTGTATGTTTAAAAGCAGATTGTTTCAACCACTACTTCCTTATTTCTCCTCCCTTCCTCTTAACTCTTTAATATACAATCTCTTAGATACTCTTGATTTTCTTCTTTGTTTACAGTCTACTAATAAGTTGATCTGTGCATCTTCCCAACCAAATGGGAGTATGAAAGCCATGAAAATTTTCAGGTAGCTTCTCATCAGAAAAGCGAGACGGGGTTGAAGAAGTGACAACAGTTTGGTAGGAATGGGGTTTTGTCAGGCTTTTACCACCAAGGATCTTACGGTCTTCTCATTCATCCTTCTAACAGTGTTTTATTTTGACGAGCCTACTTTACACATTGTATCGGAAGTATCAGGACTGCTTTCTATCTGCCACAACATAACACTAAAAATGACCTGACCATCTGCTACTTACCTCAAACCCTCTCCTTCACAGTGATGCATCCACAAACCCACAGGTACAGTCATACCAGCAGTGACAGGATGTCACAAGAGATAGATGAGGTCTCATGCTGGGGCAAGGAGGTGCATGTTAACTACTCCATGCGTGTCCTGTGAGCCTAGCTCTGTTAAAAAGCAATAGGTTAGTCTCCATTCTAGGCCAACCTGCCCACATTGTAACACCATGAGGCCAGATTTCATTCTTACTGAAGTCCTTTTCCCTGGCCTTATAGGGGGGGAAACAGCTTCCTAGTATCTCCCTGTGTAATTGCACTCTTACGCATAGTAAATGTAATAATTGTAGTAGGTAAGCGTAGTCAGTGTAAGTATAGGATCTTTGTATTGTCCTTCTCCCATCCAAGCCTGGCAAAGGGGGGGATACATGAAGAACCTCAGCAAGAGAGGTAAAGCAAGTAGATACCTATACGCCTGTGAGCTGAGTCTCATCATCCTTCTCTAAACAACCCAGGAAACTATGTGTGTTCATGTAACAAGACAGCTCTACTTCACTCCTGCCTGTCAGGAGGGGAAGAAACATAAGTGTTTGAGCTGGTGATTTGCAGTGAAGGCACCATACCCACCTGCCAGACTCACCCTCATCCACCCCTACAAGTCCCTTATGTCCAGACTACTCTGCCTGGGAGAATGCTACAAATTTTCAGTTGAGCCAGGTAGCTTTTCTCTGCTGAATGCCTTTCCTAGTCTGCTGGGACAGGATATATGGACAGGATGTCTGTTCTCAAGGAGGCTGGAAAGGGAAAAGTTAAAATGTCTGTGGTGGACACACAATGATCTGGGAGGACTGGTTAGTTGGTTGAGTGGCAGTACAGTACGGAATACCTGCCAGGATTTTTGACCTAGAGAAAAGACACTGGGAGTGCCACAAAAGTAGGAAATGTAAGTACATTTACTTGAGGCTTACAACAGACAGTGCAGAAGGAGACTCTTCTGGAAAAGGGGCACAAACCCAGAAGGCAGAGCAAGGCAAATATGCACTTGTGGCTCACATTATATGCCATCAAGTCCCTGTGTCTTTCTATGCTTGATCTATTTGTTACCATTCACCCCAACCTCACAATAAAGGAGAAAAGATTTCTTCACATGTCAAATTTCCAACATCCGACCTTAATGCTAGCACTGAAAAAAGGCTTTAGGAGCCTAAATAGTCCCTTGTTGTCACTGTAAGAGTTAAAACTAATGATTGAGGTCTTCAGCTGCTCAGCTGTTGCTAAGGGTGCCCAATATAAAAAATATGAAGTCCAGTCACTAAGCTCTCAGAAGCACATATGTCATGGTACCCAACTCAGACTGAAGGCCTGAAAGGAAGGCCTGATCCACAGCTGTGGAGTGGAGAAAGACTGTTCCTTGAGCTGTATCATTTTGAGGATCCTGTATACCATAAATAGTCAAAGCATTTATCTGAGGCTTGATGGAGTAGATCCTGCATGGAATACAGCCAGAAGAAAGGTGGCAATGCCCTTTAATTCTGTGGATGCTTGGAGCTCTTTCTACAGACTAAAGATGTTTACCCACTCTGATTGGAACCAACCATTCTTGCATAAATACTTCAACTACCATGCAAAAATTATTTCCCTAC